TCATTTATGGTCAAATATTGGGATCAAGGATGTGGGTGCTATACCTACCCACAAAAAAAAAAAATGTTAAAAAAAAATTAAAAAAAAAAGCATCTATCCTTTTAAAACAGTATCAATCCATATAATTTAATGCTTAAAGCAATTCTTGATACTAAGTGTAACTTACTTGTAACAATGATCTTGAAAGAACACATGGTGACTGTTCACTAAATTCACAGAAAAAATCCTAACAGACACAGAGAAAAAGTTATGTCACTGATAGATTAAATAACCGCAGAAAACAATGACATCTATAATTTTTGTAAATGACATGCTAGTAGAGTTAAAATGTGATAAAGGCCAATGCTATAGGGAATGTATAATATAACAAGAGGACAATGGATAACTTTAGAGCTTAAGAAGGTTCTTTTTGTTGTTCTTTTTGAAATAGGGTCTCACTACATAGTTCAGGCTGCCCCTGAACTCACTATGTAGCCCAGGCTGATCTAGAACTTGTGGCAATCCTGTCTTGGCTTCCCAACTGCTGGGATTATAAGCATGCAACATTACCCTCAGTCTAAAAATTGTTTTAAATAATCAGTAACAGAACTGTGTGGATAGCACTATTACATTTGTACACCACAAAATATCAGTAATAATTTACTAACTAATGGCAGAACTCTAGTTCTTACTTCAAAGAAATAAGTGTTGAGTAACAGGTCAACTGGATTCCTATTACTACTGTGGACTTTGGGGAAAGATCAAAGGATATGGGTTTAAAACACAAAGAGAAAAAAGACAAAATATACCAAAATATTAACACCTACAGATTGTGGGATAGCAGTTTTTTATTATCTTATTTCTCTACACCTGCCAAATTTTAGAGATAAAAATGTATGTATTTTAGTATGTGGATGTGGGGCAGGGATAAACATCTATACCTAACAATCCCGCTGTACCCGGGAGAGAACAAGACAGAGGACTTAGCCTCTTCTGGTAAGCAGGACTTCCTGTTGTAGCTGTCACCACACATTCCCTACAAAGGCAGCTCACTTCCCATTCCTGAGCACAGTGCTCACCAGCACTCACAGCTGAATCCACAAGCCTGTAATCCCTGCTCCTACCAAGAAAGTCAATACAACCACTGAGCGGGGCTTTCCTTACTCTATATTCTTATGCAACACCCCATATAAGGAGGGATGGAAGGGGGACAGAGGAGTGAAGGAAGGGAAGATGCTCATTTAGGTCTTGACTATTTTAGAAAAGCTTCCTTTTTCTCCAGGAATTGTTATACCCCTGCTAAGCATTTCCTGACTTCCTTTCTCTATCAAACACCATTGCTGTAGTTTGTTTTTTGTTTCTTTTTTTCTGAGACGTCGTCTCACTAGGTGGCTTGAAATTCACCATCCTCTTGCCTTGGCCTCGTAGGTACAGGGATTGCAAGGCACGCCAGCACATCTGGCTTTTCCTTCATAAAAGAGAAATAAATAAGCCTGTACTTCTCTGTTACACTTGCCTTTTTCTCTTTCTTTCTTTTTTTTTTTTGGGGGGGGGGATATACTAGGGATTAAACCCAGGATCTTACACTGAAAGCTCTTACTGAAGATTCCCGTTATGGTTTGTGTCTGGACGTCCCCTCAAAGCTTCATGCAGTCATCGGAGCAGGGAAGGCTTTATGGGAGGTTGCTGAATCTAGAGTTTGTGATTGGTTCACTGACTAGTGTTGGGATTGGTGGTGTGAGTACTACACATGCCCTTTCCCCCTTTTGTTCTTGTTGCTTTTGCTGCCTTCTGTGGTCATGAGCTGTTGCCCTTCTGCCAGGCGTCACTCTGCCTTGGAGCCAGATTATGGACTGAAACCACCACAAACTATGAGCTGAATAAAACCCTTCATCCTTTAACTTTGGGTGTCAGGTATTTGTCTCAACAATGAGAGAAAACTAAGACACCCCTAATTCAGCCTCCGAAAGAGTTGGGATTAAGGTGTGCAGCACCTAATCTAGTTTATTCTCATTATCTTTATAAGCACACATTCCAGCTCCTTTACTGGCTTCTCTTCTTCATCCCTGGCCTTTTCTTTCAATTCATATCCCCAAGAATCATGACCTCCTGACTTTAAGTCTTACACTCTTCTAATATATATATATATATATATATATATATATATATATATATATAATGTATTTGGTACAGGGTCTCACTATGCAGCGTGGACTCATAGTGATCCACCTGTTTTCAGTCTTCCCCATGTTGGGATTACAGCTGTGCACCAACACTCCCAGTCTCGGTGGCCGGCTGGGGGTGGGGGCAGCATGGCATGTGATGCTGCAGATCAAACCTGGTCCCTGAGCTTCCCTAAGCAGGTGCTTAGTCTGCTGAGCTACCTCACTGGCCCTCCTACCAGAAATATTTTCTATAGCACCAAAGAAACAAAAAGAATAAATTGCCAGCCTCGGCCTCAAATCAACAACTGTACCCATATTATCCCTTCCCTGCCTCAATAATAAAATTGTACTAAGCATGCCAGCTTTTCCAGAAATATTAATTCATCATCAATAATTTATCCTTGAAGCTCCCTGATAGCAAATTCTCTTCTTTACTGGGTCATTATCATTTACATTACAGTCCAGTGTCTCCTATTTATTACAGGCTCATCTCCTTCTCAACGCCTTTTGAACCAAATTTCCTACTCAAGGGAGACACCACATCTACTGTTTCTACTCTCCACCATCAACATGCTAATCTGTCTCCTATTTGCCACCACTGTCCCCCTAATTCCAGTGGACCTTTGTTTAAGACCTGAGTGACCTTTCAGCAGAATTGGAAAGACTTTTTTCTTGAAAAAAAAATTCAAGTAACTTTCCAAAATGTTTTTCTCTTTAGCCATCTGTTAGTCTGACCTCTGTGTTTAAAGTTTAGTCCTAGACCTTCTTTTCCTTTCTTCTTTTTCTCTAATTTATAATTTAATACTGCTCATGTTTTATTTACTACCTATACTGTAAAAAGCCCAAACTTCTATCTCTTAAGAAAGAACTTTAACACAACCTTGCTGGCTAGAACCTCCAGTGGCATCTGCATGACTGTACCACCAAGTGTTTCAAAGCTACCAATCAGTGAATTAGAGCCCCATAATAAATGTGTTTTTATCTGTCATGATTTATGCTCAGACGTCCCTTCATAGCCTCATGCAGTCATGGGTGGCGGACTTTTGAGAGGGGGCTGAATCTACAGTTAGTGATTCATTTATGGTCAAATATTGGGATCAAGGATGTGAGTGCTATACCTGCCCTAGGCAAGTAGCCTGCATACAACATTAAGGGATAGAAAGAGGCTTATCTAACTCTCCTATTTGTTCCTTTTGCCACCATGAATGGGTGCCCCTCTGCCACTTAACCCTTCCTCTCTTTAATTTTGGGCATCAGGTATTTTGTCTCAGCAAGGAGAAAAATAAGCAAAACACTATCCATATGGCTGATATCAACATCTATACTTAGGGCCAGTCCGACAGCTCAGTGGATTAAAGCACCTGCTTAGGCTAGGCAGAGGGCAGCAGCCGGGGCTCGATTCCCAATGTTCCCTGCCAGCCCTGCCCCCTGGGTGCGGTGAGAGAGTGATTAAGACTGGGTGTGGTGGTGATGCCTGTAATCCCAGTGCTTGGGAGGCCAAAAACAGGAGAATCACCACGAGTCCAATCTACATAGTGAGACCCTGTAGATCTTGTAGACCCTGTACTAAATACATTTTTTTAAAAACCCAAAAAACTATACCTAACCATATATATATGGTTATTCTACTGAGTGCTTATTCTACTGAGCCATCTCCCTGGCCCCCTTACATATTTTCAAAGGCTTACAAATATTTTTCAAAAGCTTAAATCCAACTTCATGCTCCATATTTAATTCACTACCAATGTTCTGTCACCAGCTCTAACTCTAACAAGCTCATACCGTTGTCCTGTCATCCTTTTACTCCAAATTAACACCATCTCTTCTCTGGACTACAGTAATAGTTAATCTGCCTTTCTGTTTTTACTCTGGTCCCCTACAAATCCTTTTTACAGTGCACCCACTATATCTCTGCACATTCTTAATGCAATATTACTAATCAATATGTACTGATCCTACATAAATCTTTTCTTGGCTTTCTTTTGCTCTCTGATAAAAACCAAAATCCTGAATGTGACATAAAAGGCTTACTTGGTCTGTGTAACTCTCCAACTTCACCAAACCCAACTCCCCTACCCATAGTCCATGTTTCTAGCTTGCTTGTCCTATAGTTTCTTCCCCATCACAAGACACATTTAGCTTCCTTTATCTGGAACTGCCCAACCCTATCATCCTAACTAATGTCTACACAACCATGAAATCTTAGCTTTGCCTTCTCTGATCACCTTGGTCATTCCTTCAATGTGTTCCTATCACTATTCTGCTGTGTTTTCAATCATGATTTTTATAATTATCTGAGCAATTTCTCACTCACACCAAGCTAAGCGAGCGCAAGCAGGATGATGATAGCTTTCACTCGTCAACACACAAAGAAAATGCCCAAAGGTAGTTCCTGAGTGGATAAACACATACCAACTTTCATAGTTTCACCTGTACTTCATTTCTGCCTTTCTCTGCTTCCTTTTTTCCTGCCCGTGCTAGGGACTGAACCTGTTCTAGGGCCTCACATGCTCTAATCTCTCAGCTAAACCTTTAGCCTTCATTTCTGCATTTTTTACTCCTGGTATATATCCACAAAACAATATAATCCACAGTTTATTATGCAATGTATTTAAACTGAATGCTCTCCCTAATAACTTCACGGCTATCATCCTCGACTGTTAATCTAAGTTTCTCTTTACTAATTTATCTACCCTCTTCTTTGTCATTACATTTCCCCCAAGTATAAAGCATCTAAAAGCTGGAAATGGCAGAAAAATGCAAAAAATAAACTACTATTCAGTATCCCACCACTCCAAAACTAGAATTGATATTCTGGATTTAAAACTTTTTTAAATTCCATTTCTAACAATGTTTTCTTTTGTAAGAGAATGTATCAGCTGGTATATTCAGTATTTTAAAACAAAACCTGACATTCATAAGCATTTCCCCATGTCAATATTTCTCTAAAGCATGCTTTTTAATGGCTATATGTTATATAATCTAGACATACCATAAAAATGGATAGTCACTATTTTAATATATCTCTGTACGCACTTCAATTATTCTGCATCATAGCTCTGGAAGGAGAATTTCAGAATGAAAGAATACACACACAGCTTTAGACTTCTGAGATATCACTGCAGAAGTGTGGGAGAATGACTAGAAACTTTTCAGTTAAACAGCACTGTATTTTCAATCTACTTTATCTTACTAGCTATGTAAGCATTTTAAATAGTAATTTGGCAATTTATTCTAATAGTTATTAAAAATGGATTTCTTATGCAGATCCAAACTACCCAGTTCCCTCCTTCTCTTCTGGCCTCTGTCACACATTCCTACCACTACCAGTTCCTGTCCCAAGTCTTCCAAGCAGTCACAGTCTTTCTTTATGCCCTCTTCATATCCAGGACCCACAAAGCTTATTTACATACATGATACTTCCCTTAATTGGATGTTTACTCAAAAGAGGAGTGAATGAACATAGGATATTTTGTAGGCTGAACTAGGACAGGAGGAGTGTACACACTTCTTGCTTTGTCCTACAATTCTTGATAATGAACAAAAAGCCTTTTTCCTTTAATAGCCTCATAACTCTGATGAAATCATATTAATAACGTCAAAACCATGATGTGAAAATAAAAATGCCTCCCTAACCTTCAGCTTAGCCTTCATAATACAAGCAAAGTACCTACAGATGTGGGTGAGAGTCAGATGTGGTTCTGTCAGAAGTACATGCAAAGGCTGCCATGACCCTCCCCATTCCTCAATCCTACACCAGCTCAAAATGAGAACTACATCTATTCAGGTATGTATGCAATCATTCTTTACTAAGAAACTATGCAGAAAAAAGATCACTGACAACAGCTCAGCAACCTATCCTGATTGGAACTACCACAAATTCCTTGAAATGCCTGGAATGCATCGCAATCTCAGAGGGCTTCATGACAATGACTGGTACATTATCACAAAGTAGTAAGTCCTCAGAAGGCTGCTGATCCTGCGGCTTGTTTAATTTCAGAGAAAACAAAATGTCATTTAACAACTAAAGATAAAATAGAACTGGCAAAACAATACATATAAGCAAAATATTATAGGATATAAAACAATAAAGTGGGTTGCTTACACTTTAAGATCTTACAGTCAATCTGATGAACATGAATACACACTCAGGTAACAATTAGGATCAGTACACTAGATACAGCAGAAGTAAGAAAACCTCTAAAGGGCTGGCCAAATAGCTCAGTGGATTAAAGCACCTGCTTGGGCATAGGGGCTGGGGGTTCCACCCCTGGGCCTGCTGTGTTGGCCCTGGGGCGTGCTGAGACTGTGCGTGGTGGTAACACACCTGTAATCCAAGCTCTTGGGAGGCTGTAAACTATGAGTCTAATCTAGTAGTAAGACCCTGAACACCCTGCAGACCCTTCCCTAAAAAATACCAAAAAAAGAGAAAAACTATTTTAATTAGAATAATCTAGTTTGGATATAAACCCTCTGAACCTCAGCTTGATCATCTGTGAAATGGTCTGCAAAATGAGCTATCATCTATCTAGAAAACAAGCATAATCTATTTTCTTTACATTTTTACAATTCTGAGAGAATCAGGGCAATCTGCTGAAAAGAAATCAAGTACAACAGAAAGTAAAGGCATTATGGAGTTTCACTAAGGAATGAAAATTTAAGCTGGGCTATTTTTTATTTTCAATTAATTCTTTTTTAATGTATTTAGTACAAGGTCTACAGGGTCTCACTACGTAGATCAGACTCGTAGTGATTCTTTATTTTTAGCCTCCCAAGAGCTGGGATCACAGGTGTGCACCACCATGCCCAGTCTCAATCACAGTCTCAGTGTGCCCTGGGATCGAACCCAGGTCCCTGAATCCACCTAAGCAGGTGTTTTAGTTCAGTGAGCCATCTGGCCAGCCCTAAGCTGGGCTTTAATGACAAAGAATTAATTGAAGATAAAGGTATTATAAGAAGAAACACAAATACGAGCACAAATTCTCATTGGCCATCAACTCTTTTGCAGAAACTACTATAGAATACAGAAATATAAACTAGATACTAGTGATCTCAAGGAAAGAGTGTATAGCAAAAAACTCCAACCAAGAAGGGAGGCTCCACCAAAGGCAGGCCATAAGCTGGAAGGCAAGCATGCAAGGTAACAACGCACATGAATAGTTACATGACACATACTGCTATACTTAAGTTCTAACAAAACAATATTATCCTTCAAATTTTCTACTCGTCTACTAACCTTACACATGCCACTATACTTTTACAACTGAAAAGCTTCGTTTCTCTGTTTTAATATTCTCCAAATAAACCTTTTCAGTATATTAACACAAAAAAAACTGATAAAATGCAAAATACGGTAGCTTAAAACTGTGCGTGCTCTTTCAGTCCTACAATTTCATGTTTTAAGAATTTATATAAAGAGAGAAGGAAGCACGATACAGATTTACACACAATGGTGTTCATCTTTTCATTGTTTATAAAAGTGCAACACTGAAAATGGCCTAATAATCTTTTTTTTTTTTTTTTTTTTTTGGTACTGGGGATTGAATTCAGGACCTTGCACTTGCCAG